GAGAGAGAGAGAATGGGACAGGAACAGGGGGAGGAGGGAGACAGAGAGAGAGAGAAAGCAGGAGAGAAAATGGGACAGGAACAGAGAGGGGGGAGAGACAGAGAGAGATGGAGGTAGGAGGGGAGACAGAGACAGAGTGAGAGAGAGGGACAGTGACAGAGACAGGAATAGAGAGGTGGGGGGAGACAGAGGGAGACAGCGAACAACAGAGACAGAAACAAAGAGGTGGGAGGGGAGACAGAGACAGGGACAGGAACAGGAACAGAGAGAGAGAGAGAAAGAGACAGAGTGAAACAGAGGGAGAGAGAGAGAGACTGATGGAAAGCCAGAGAGAAGACTATGAGAGAGAGAGAGACAGAATGAAGTATAGTGAAGGGGGATAAAGACAGAGATGGAGAGAAATACAGGGAGAGGGAGAGAAAAATACAGAAAGAAACATAGGAAGACAGAGAGAGGGATAATGAGGGAGTAAGATAGAGAGAGAGAGAATGTGAAACATAGGGAGACAAAGAGTGAGTGAGAGAGAAAGACAGAGAGAGAGGAGAGAGAGAGAGAGACAGTGTGAAACATAGGGAGACAGAGAATGAGTGAGACAGAAAGACAGAGAGAATGACAGGAAGATTGGAAGAGAGAGAGAGACAGAGAGAGACGAGGGAGCGGGGAACAGAAGGAGAGAGAGTTGAGAGACGGAGAGAAGGTGGGGAGAGAGAGGGCGCGAGAGAGATACAGAGTGAGAGACGTGACAGGGAGAGAGAGAGAGAGACGGAGAGACAGGAACAGAATGTGAGAGAGGGAGACAAGTGGAGAATGAGAGAATGACAGGGGAGGGAGGAAGGGAAAGTGAACATTTTGATTTCAAGGCCTCAGACCGTGCCTATTGTCTGCTCACTGTATTATAAAAAACAGAGACCAGTGTAATGAAGGAAACCGGAACATAAAGCTGCCACACGCTGGAGATATTTAAACACGGGGAGTGTAACCCTCCTGATGCTGACAGCTCAAATCTGGCCAGGAGTTAAAAAGACAGGCATTGGGATCCCTGATCCTCATTTGGGGACTGCAGGCCTACCATGAACCTTGGATGGATAGGGACCTGGAGTTAAACATCAGACCATCTCACAACACCCCATTGAAAAATTTACCCCACTCTTTGGCAGCTCCTGGACACTGGGAAAGGGCAGGCTGTGATGCTTTCCTTAGTCAATCAGCCATTGGCTCTGGAATTTGGTGCCGGGAGAGGGGAAAGTGTGAGCTGGGAATAGAGAGCGGTGGGATTTGTTGCTCAGTGAGCAGCAAAGGGTCTGTTTATAAGTTGCAGAAGAAATGGCTTTTCCGATCAATGCCCAAACAGCTTCTCAGTGACCTTCAGGAGAAAGTAAATAGACTCACTCTCCCGGGAGGAACCAACAACTGGCAGGCCACTGCCTGGCACTCACTGACACACTCACTGACACACTCACTCACTGACACACTCAC